GCTACATCCCCGGCCCCGTTCATTTGTTGAAACAAGGCCTTGCTATGTTGCCTGGGCTGGCCTCCAATTTGTAATCCTCCTGCCTCAGCCTCTCAAGCAGCTCGGATTATAGACACATGCTGCCATGCCAGGCATATTCCATCTAATCCATCTTATTGAACACCAAAATATGCTGATCCTGAGCTCCATGGCACACATCTAGAATGCAGTAATACCATTCCTTGTTCCTGGACCTCTCTTTCCATGTGCTTAGTTCTCTCTAGTTGTTCAAATCTGTTCAAATGTCCCTTCCACAGCAAGGCTTTCCCTGGCCAGAGCCTCCCAACATTCCCTAACACTGGGGACTGGCAAAGTGTAAGGTTCTGGCCAAAATCAAATCTTTTAAAAGCTTTCTAATCAAATTTGCTTCTCTCTGGACTATTTCCTTCCTTTGCTTAGGTTATCTTTCACGCACAATTTTAAAAAGCCTTTTCTCTTCCCACTGCTCAAATACACTCTTCACACACTCACCAGAGTGCTCTAATAAACATTTTCCTTTTTCACCATGCTGTCTCTTCAAGTGATTTCACCACTCCCCACTCACCCCTGTGATCTTACTTTATCTTCAATTGTCTCTGGTTAAAAGACACCTCAAATACACATCTCAGATGCTAAACTCAGTGGACGAAAGCTTAATGAGAAACAGGAAATTGCAGAGATTCAAAGTATTCTCCATTTTAAAAATAAAAGCATTCCCCCTTATCTGCTGGAGGACATGTTTCAAGATGACCAGGGTGCCTGAAACGTCAGGTAACGCCAAACCCTGTGTATACAGCCACCCTTGTTTCCACAGGGGATTGGCTGCAGGGACCCCCCCACAGATTCTGAAATCTGCAAAAGCTCAGTTTCTTATATAAAATGGTGTAATATTGGGCATAAACTATGCACATCATCTTGTCTACTTTAAATCACCTCTAGATTACTTGTAATACTTAAGACAGTGTGAGTGCTATGTTAGTTGTTATACTGTACTGTTTAGGGAATAATGATGAGAAAAGTCTGTAGGTGTTCAGTACAGATACAATTTATTTTTTCAAATACTTCTAATCACAGGTGGTTGAATCCACAGATGCAGAAGCCATGGATATGGAACTCATGGGGATGGAGGCACAGCTGTGTTCTGGTATCTGGTGCAAATGCACCTATGATAGTTTTTTATAAATTAGATGCAGTAAGAGATTAACAATAACTACCAATAAAACTATTATAACAGAAACTTTAATAAAAGTCACTTTAAATTATAAGCTGTTTATGTCTGGAATTTTCCATTTAGTATTTTCAGACCATGGCTGCAGGTAAGAAGGCATTGCTGTGTCTCCCACAATTATATGTGGGAAAGGGAGAAACCTGACCGATACCAGCTTACCTATGTGATGAGAATGATCATCACCAACAGGACATACCAAGACTACGTGCCCCCATTGACCTTCACTAGGAAGGACTTGATGTCACTTGCCAGAGTTTTAATCTGAGAGGCCCTCAAGGGTCTGTGAGTTAGTGTATGGGTCCCCATCTTGGCAGTGCTGGGAGCTGGTGGACACCTTTAAGAGGTGGGGCCTAGCGGGGTTTTCCAGGCCCTTGGAAGGCAGAGCAGGACCAGCCTGTTCTCTCTCTCTCTTTTGTCTCCCAGTCAGGAGGTGAGCAGCTTTGCTGTGCTGTCTGCTCCCACCATACTGCACTGCCCACCACAGGCTTAGAGCAGAAGGGCCAGCCAACCATGGACTGAAACCTCCCAAACCATGAGCCAAAATAAATTTCTAAATTGAATAGTCCCAAGCATGAGTTATCATAACAGAAAGCAGACTATCATATCACTTCTGTGGTATTCCCGCCAAAAATTCATACCATAACTCTCATTCATGGAGAAACATTAGGCAAGCTCAAATTGTTTTACATTCTATAAAATAAATAGTGTGTACTCTTCAAAAATGTTAAAGACAGCCATGCACAGAGATGTGCACCTACACTCCCAGCCCCTCAGGAGGCTGAATAGGAGTCCAGGAGTTTGAATCCAACCTGGCCAACATAGTGAGCCCTTATCTCAAAATATAAAATAAAATACCTCAAGGTCATGAGAGGCAAAGAAAGGCTAAGAAATTGTTCCATATTAATAGGGATGAAAGAGACATAACAACTGAACACATCTCATTCTAGATTGTATCCTGGACCAGTAAAACTTTATATTTTTTTGCCAGGGGGTGGGGGGGGTGGGGGTGGGGGGTTGTTGAGTCAGAGTCTTGCTATGTAGTTCAGGCTGGCCTTGAACTCATCATGTAGCCCAGGTTGGTCTACGACTCACAGTGATCCTCCTGCCTCAGCTTCCCAAATGCTGGGACTACATGTGTGTGCCACCACACTTGGCTTAAAACATATATATAATGTTAAAAACATATATAATGTTAGTGGAACAATTGGCAAATTTTAAGTAATCTCTGAAGATTAGATAATAGTGTTTATATCTATGTTAATTTCCAGAGCTTGATATTATGTTCTAGTTATGCAAAAAAATGTCTTTTAGCTATAATCCCAGAACTTTGGAAGACTGAGACAGGACAACTGCCAAATTCAAGCCCATCCTGAACAGTTTAGTAAGCTAGTGAGACCCTGTCTCAAAATTTAAAAAATTTTTAAAAGGCCAGGGGCTGGGCACGGTGGTGCACACCTGTAATCTCAGCACTCAGGAGGCTGAGGCAGGAGGACCAACAGGAGTTCCTCGCCAACCTAGGCTACACAGTGAGTTCAAGACCAGCCTAAACTACATAGTGAGACTTTGCCTTAAAAAAAAAAAAAAAAAGAAAAAACCAAGGAGGGGATGTAGCTCAGTGCAAAGACCTTGAGTTCAATCTCCAGTACAAAAGAAGAAGGAGGAGGAGAAGGAGGAAGAGGAAGAAGGGGAAGAAGAGGAGAAGAAGAAAAGGAAGAAATGAAAGCAGGGGGGAGAAAATGTGAAGGAGCTTTGTTTTGTTTTTTAGTAAATACACATTACTAAAATACATTAGCCTTGCTGGATGTGGTGGCATATGCCTGCTATCCCAGCACTTCAGAGGCTGAGGCAGGAGGATCACCATGAGTTTGAGGCTAGCCTGGGCTACATAGTGAGTTCAGGGCCAGCCTGAACTACACAGCAAGACCCTGTCTCAACCAATCAATCAATACAAAAAATAAAATACACCAGCTTGGGTTCTTTAGAGAAACAGAACCACTAGGCAAGAGATAGATAGATAGATAGGCAGACAGACAGATAGACAGACATTTTATTAGGATGAATTGGCTGCTTGCTTATGAAGAGTAATAAATCCAGAGATCCCCAAGAGCCTCGGGTTGGGTTGGCAAAATGGAGACCCAGGACAGTGGACGGTATAGTTCAAGTCCAAGCCCAAAGGCCTGAGAAGCGGTAGTGTAACTTCCGCCCAATGGTCGGGATTCGAACCCAGGAAGAGTCCAAAGGCAGGAAAAGCTATGTTCCAGTCCCAAGGGAGTCAGGCAGGAGGAAGTCTCTCACCATTCCTGCTTTCATCTGCTTTAATGAGACCCTCCCACATTAGGGAGAGTAGTTTGCTTCACTCCATCTACCAATTTAAATGTTAATCTTTGGTACTAGGGATTGAACCCAGGGCTTTCACACTAAGCTACATTCTAGCTTTATTTTATTTTATTTTTGACATAGGATCTCACTAATTCAATAAATTGCCCAGGCTGGGCTGTAACTTGTGATTTTTAATTATTTATTTATTTATTTATTTACTTTTGAGACAGAGTCTCACTCTGTAGTTCAGGGTGGCCTTAAACTCACGATATAACCCAGGCTGGCCTCGAACTCGCTACAGTCCTCCTATCTCATCCTCCTGAGTGCTGAGATTACAGGAATATTTTAGTACACGTGCTGCCGAAGCTAGCACTGAGATTACAGGAACATGCCACCATGCCTGGCTTGTAACGTGATTCATTCTCCTGCCTCAGCCTCCCAGAGTGCTGGCACTACAGGCATGCACCACCACACTCAGCTTGAACTATTCAACTTTTTTGTGGGTTTGAAATTTTCAAAATGAGAATTTGGAAAATATAGAAATACATAAAATATTAAGGATGCCAAATTTTAAAATTGTACATCATTTGGAAAAATCTCATCTTGTTATAATTCTGCTTAAAACCTTCATTAGCTTCCCATTGCTCCAAGGAGAAAGACAAAATCGCCTAACAAGGCCATAGCCTGCACCATCTGGCACCTACCTCTTCTACCCACTGACTGACTCACCGCCATGTTTGTCCCCTGGCTCTGATCATACATAAGCATTCCCTAACCACTCCAGAAGGTTCCAGTCCCCCAGAGTTCTCTCTCCTCCTGGCCTTTGCACATGAGGCTGCCACAGCCTGACTAAAGGGACTAAGAAACGAGTTTTCATGTTCTCTTTCCTATACGGTTCCCCTAAATCTCCTCTTACAAATTCTCTCTGGCCCCCAAGTCTGGGTGACATGCCTCCTTAGCAAACAGCTTGGTCTCATCATGGCATTAGCACACCATATTGCAATCAGCTCATTTATCTCCTCCAGTGTTTGGTAAACTGGAAATTGGGTATTTTTATTCCCTTCCCGCCCCCTCCTGCCCCTTCCTGCCCCTTCCTGCTTTGGTCTGGTACTTTATGGAGTGGACTTCTGTTTTCATGTGTCTAAAATAAAGGAGTGGGGAGCTAGATGAGCTATCGGCGATAAAACTGATCTAATAATCCCATTCCCAACTGTGCCCGAAATGCCTTTTCAGTTTCATTGCTGTGGTCCAGAACCTCTGAAGACGTCACGAATTGGGAGAGTTGGAGACTACAGTTCCCATCAACCCTCGGGGTACCACGTGGGGCTTCGGCTCTCTCGCGGGTAGTGAGGACTGCATTTCCCAACGCGCCCCGAGGTTTCCGGAGTCCCGGCTCCCTACGAGCTGCAGTAGCCAGGCTAAGCTGCAGGTAAAAAGGGCCCGCTGTTGGGCTTCAGGGGCGCAGAGGGCCTGACTCATCCAAAAGCGCGGAGTTGCACATGCCCTATTTTTACAGCTGCCAGTCATTCCCTCAAATCCCTTTAATCAAAGGGCCTCTGGAACTGGCCCTCCACCGCCTGAAGCTAGAAACCAAATTAGGTTACACCGAGCAGAGCAGAGGCGTTGTCGAGGCAGGTGTAGACCCCCTGGGGAAAGGGGTGGGTTGTGGGAACCGTGGGTGGCGCAGGCAAAGGCCCTCAGATTTCGCGTTTTTGTCTCCGCAGCATTGGATGTGGAGTACGCAGCTGGGCCGGCGCCTGGTCTCTATGGCCACCCGCATCTGTTTGTCCCGGGGCAGCTCGGGATCCCAGGGAGTCGGTCCGGTGGAGGCCGCCATCCGCGCGAAGTTGGAGCAAGCCCTGAGCCCCGAGGTTCTGGAGCTGCGCAACGAGAGCGGCGGCCACGCCGTCCCGCCCGGCAGCGAGACGCACTTCCGCGTGGCAGTGGTGAGCTCCCGTTTCGAGGGAATGAGCCTCCTGCAGCGGCACCGGCTGATCCACGAGGTGCTGTCGGAGGAGCTGGCCGCGCCGGTTCACGCACTGGCCATCCAGGCACAGACCCCCGCCCAGTGGAGAGAGAACCCGCAGTTGGCCACTAGCCCCCCCTGTCTTGGTGGAAGCAAGAAAACTCGAGAAACCCCTTCTGCCTAAGAGACGGGGGCGGGGGCAGAATCGGAGGGGCTGGGTGAGAATGAACTGTTAACTACTACCCAGTGTGGTGGTTCATAAGGACTAGGACCCCTGGGACTCGTTCTGCTGTCCGTACATATTCTCTGGAGATAACTCATTGAAGGGCAAAGCTGACCCACCGAAAGGGCAGTCACAAACTGCTCTGTGTGGACCCTTCGGGAAGGGGATGCCTGGTTGTTTCGTGTTAAATTGTTACCGAGGAACTACTCCAGTCCTGATGAATTCGAAACAGTCCCTACACTAAGAGAAATTATCATACGAGGTGCATTGCTGTGTTCTTAATGCTTATGGAATTGTTTCTAGAAAAGAAAAATACCTGCAGGCCCAGGTAGTCAGGAGGGGATTCCTGGGGGAAGTGAACTACTGTACTGGGTCTCTGAAAGAGAGTACCCAAGCAAAGGGAGAGACTGGACCGGGCAGTGGGTTGTTGGACAAAGCAGCGGGTATAGGCAGGGACACATTTGAACTTCGTCTTGGGGGAATGTTTGGTTTTTGACAACCTGTCCAAAAAGTATTTGTTTATAAGAAAAACCTTTTTTAATCACCAAAACAATGAAAAGAGGCTAAGAACCCTTTAGCCCTCTGCTTATGATTCTTCCAAACATTGCATCATTTTTTTTTTGGTGGTCCTGGGGCTTGAACTGCTGGTCTTCCCACTGAGCTACATCCCCAGCCCTTTTTATTTTGAGACAGGGTCTTGCTAAGTTGCTAGGCTCCAATTTGCAGAGTTCTTGCCTCAGCCTCTCAGAGTGCTGGAATTACTATTCAGGCATGTGCCACCTTGCCCAGTTTAACATTTCAGAGAGGAGCTCAAGTAGTGATTTACATAAGTAACTTTCCAGTAGTCTCAATGTGGAAATTACTGCTGCGCAAGCGCAAGGACCCGAGTTCGATCCCCAGTACCAAAAAAAAAAAGAAATGTGGAAATTACTGGAAAAGAAGGCTGCTTAACCTGCCTGACCATTTCTGACTAAAGAGTTTAGACTGCATCTGGTTGGAGAGAAGGCAGTCATGAAAGAATTTTGAGAGCTTGTGAGGACAGAGTGATCCGGCAGTGATGTGTGAGTGGGTTAGCCCAGGAGAGTATGGGCAAAGATCAACCAAAAGTGAAGGCAGAACCCTGCCTCAGAGGGCAGCTGCAGGAGTGGAAGGAAAGGGGTTGATCTGAGAACTACTATCAAAATCAGAAAATGACTCGATTGCAGCCCAAGGAATCTTATTTAAAATGTAGATTTGAGGCTCCCTCCCCCCAAAAAGGATTTGATACCGTACGTTGAGAATAGAGTCCAAGATCTGTATATTTTAAAGACACTAGATTTGGACAAAAGTTACATTTTTTTGGAGACAGGGTCTCGCTGTGCTTTTCAGGCTGGCTTTAAACTCACTTTGTAGATCAAGTTGGCCTCAGACTTGAAGCAGTCCACCTACCTCAGCCTCCCAAGTGCTGGAATTACAGGCCTGCACCACCATGCCTAGCTAGTTGCTTCTATTTTTAAGAAACATTCCAAGTTTTTAAAGCTGGGAGGTTTAAAGGGCCCTCCACCTGTGGAAATGGAAGTCTCAGGGTTAGAGAGGCCAATTTAGGGAGTACATGCGACCCATCATGTTATTCTGGCTTGCAGATTGAAGAGGGAGTTGCTTTTCACTACTGTTTTACCTTTCCAGGACTGTGAGAATGGATTTAGAAATAGGTAGCGAGGTAAAGAAACAGCCATTTTGGATTTTAAGGATTTGTTTCCCTTTATTTTTTGTCGGTATTTTTCATTTCATTTTTCACATCAATAGTCAGATTTAGGGTTCCCCAGGAGAGCAAGGGAGATGGATGGGTCTCCCTGGGGTGCAGGGGAGAGGGCACACACTCGTACACTGGGCACTGGAGGAGAAGGCAGTCCTTTAGCACATACACCAGAGTTAAACAGTCACCACCTGGTTCAGTTACAAAATGGGAGTGGCCACGGGTTGAGGGCACCAGATGCAGCGTGAAGAGGGTGCATTTGGATTTTCTTTGTTGTTATTTTCACTTTTTTCCTTTTAACTTTTTTTTTTTTTTTTTAACATTTTACAGACAGCTAAAAACTACAACACATCACAGCTATGGTGGAGGTGGGAGGAGGCACCAACAAAAGCAGCCACACAGAGTAGGGTGGGGTGGGGCAGCTTCACCTACAGAGGCTATTGTGTGGAAGAGTGAGGTGGGGAAACAGGTTTCTGGTCCCTGCATTAGGGGTCTCTCACTGCCCAACCTCTCCTCACTTCTAGAGGAGTTGCCAGGGGGCCCCTGCTTCCTGCCTCGCTCCAGCTCCTTGTGCTTTTTGATCTGCTGGTTTGTCCACATCCCTGGTTTCCTTCCCTCTCCTGCTCCCCAGCCCATGACAGACCTTGGGGGCCTGGGAAGGTGCTGTGTGCTTCCTGTCTGCTGTAGCAGGGGCAGCCTCTCCCTCCAGAGGAGGCCTTGGCTTGACAGGAAGGAGAGATAGGCCTTGTCCGGTACCCCCAGGTCTCCCTAGATAGACCATGGGACTCTTACCCCAGCCTGCCCTCGAGCTTCTCCCTCCCAGGCCCAGCACAGATACGAGCTTCGGGGAGGTACCATGGGAGGCAGGGTTGTGTGTGTGTCCACTGAAATTACCCTTGGCTTATATTTGAGGACAGTACAGTGATACCACCACCTCATGGCACGCACACACATACATAAGTGTACACACACATTCACACACAGTCCACTGAGCTGCCTCAGAACTTCATACATAAATAAATAATCAGCTAATTACATAAAATTCAGGCTTCATATTTGAAGCCCAAATTGAGGGGAAAGTGGAGACCAGAGGGCTGAGGTTTATTGCTGCTCCCCCAGCATCCAACAGGAGGCCCCCCACCCCGCCTGTAAGAAGTTCTTTTGGTCCCTGGTGTGTACCCTGGCCCCAGTCCCCCACACATCTGCTCAGCCATGGTTTCCCCAGGGCCTAAGCAGAGGGAAGGAGGGGGAAGGCATGAAGCCTATTCTGGAACCCCTGGAGCAGGGAAACAAGGGCCCCTCACTAACACTGGGGGAGAGCAAGATGGGCTCGGTCTTGTGTGCAAAGTCAAGGGTGGTAGGAGGTGGGGAGTAGCTTCACCCCAAACTGGGAGGAAGAACCTTCCCTATCGCCCTGCCCATGGGGGTCACACATGCACACGCACACGCACGGACAGCTAAGACACCGAAGGAATGGGGAGTGAGGTTTCTGGGGCCAGGACGGCAGGGCACGGGGGCGGGGGGGGAGAGGAGGAGCTGTTGGTCTCACAGTGTGCCCACCACCCCCAGGGCCCCATGGACCCCCTCACTGCAGCACCTGCCCCCGGGTCTCGGGGAGCTTCAGGGCCAGAGAGCTGCCAAGGGCAAGGGCAGCTGAGGCGAACAGGATGGGGGCAGCCTTGGTGATTCCCACGAAGGATGTGAAGATGCTGATCCCCAGCACAGCTGCCAGCTTACACAGGGCATTCAGGAAGCCAAAGGCTGTGGTCCTGCTCGGCGGCCCCAGGGCCACGTGCAGGGCAGAGCCCAGGAGGGAGGCAGAGAAAGATGGGTGGGCGTGGAAGTGAAGTTGGGGGAGAGGAAAGGACAGAGAGACCAGGGAGGGGAGGACAGACGAGGAATACAGACCAATTGGGAGACAAGGAGGAAAGAGACCAAAAAAAGATTAATAATTAAAACTGCAAGTAGTGATTTCAAAAACTATCAGCTTTTAGAGGAGAAACACAGCACGTGTCCTCCCACCCCCAAAGATGTCCTCATTCACCCCCACTTCTCCGGTGCGCTAAGCCCTAAACCTGCTGCCCTGCCACACCACACCCCAACTACCTCTTGTCAGAAGGGTAGAGTTCCACAGTCAACACATCCAGCGCATTCCAGGATGCAATGCTGACCCCTCCAAAAAGGCAGAGCAATGCAATCATGGCTGACTCGCTGTTTCCGAAGGACAGGAAGAAGCAGGACACACAGGACATCACGCTGGAGCCAGCTGCAGCCAAGAGTGGCGAGAGCATGAGCCCAGCTGCGGTGAGGCCCGCTCAGGACCCAGCTTTGGGACAGCCCTGCTCGAGACTTCTCACGGGAGCCAGAAAGAAGGCTTTTCACTCATCTTCAACTTCCCTTGTAATCGTTTATTAATCAGTATTCAGTGCCAACTGTGGGCCAAGCACACATTGACCTATCAACCACCTGCAGGACTGGTACCGTCACTTCCATGTCACAGGTGGCAGCTGGGCTAAGAAAAGGTGACTTGGCCAAAGGAGGCAGTGGAGCTGAGACACAAACCCACAACCTGTGCCCGACGTACTTGCTGTTCTGCCTGACTCCTACACCCTCCAGAGAAACTTCTATGCCTGGGCCACCCCGTTCTGCAGCACCCCCAACAAAACATGAGAAAGAAGTTCTCAGACCAGCCTCTTCCACAGCCGAAGGTGAGAAGCCTTCCGACGGCCTCCCAGTCAGGCCTGAGCTCCCACCACCCAGCCTCTCCACTTACCAAGCATTCTGAGCCTGCCAATCTTGTCCATGAGCAGAGCAGACACAATATTCCCTGGAAGTACAGCCAGCGTCCCCAGGAAGCTGACGAAGTATACCATGTAGGCACCTTCACCAGTGCCCGTCACATCTAGCTGGCAGCCCTCCTTGTTGTGCAGGAATGTGCTGTTCACCAGACGGCTGTTCACAAACTTGTACTCAAACAGGTCTGGGGTGAAGGCCAAGACACACAGGCAGTTATAGAAAATGGGAAAGGGCTCTCCACTTGTGGGGGTTCTCAGAACTATTCTGGGCACTCATTACAAAACACCAAAGAACATCACCATGGGAACGAGGGATTGTAAAGACAAAATGACCATAATCTATCAAACAATTTGACTGTTTGCAAGGTTTCCCATTATGTCTCTACTTCATTCTTTTTGTCCACCTAAGTTGATGATAAGCCACAGCAGTGCTGCAGGTCTAGAAGATTTTTCTGAGAAAAATACTAAAAATAATGAGGCCTATCCACTATTTTTCTTTCTTTCTTTTCTTTTTTTTCAGTACCAGGGATCAAACTCAGGACCTTGCACTTGCGAGGCAGACATAGCACCACTGAGCTACATCCCCGGCTCACTTTTTTTTCTTGCAAGGTGAAAAAAACCTACTCAGTTTTCCACTTAGAGGTGAGAAACCTCAGTCTAGCTCACAAAATCAGCATTTCATATACATGTAGTTTGAGAAACACTGTTAAAGAAGTAGATTACTGTGACAATTCCCAACCTTTCCCCCATCAATATGCCTGTTACTGTTTCTCTTTCTCCCAGGGACCCGATTTTGAGTTATCTTCGCCTTCTTCAAAAGCACAGTATTATTACTTCCCTGAGTTATTACAATTCCAGCCAGAGGCAACAAAACTCGATGCTTTTGTCAGATACTGTCACTGAGAAATGTCCAGTGTCCACTGCATTTTCCAGATTAGTGGTGGTTGTCACTAGTGCCCATCCCACCTTCCCAAGGGTTCCAGAGGCTCTCAGCACGGAAACCAGGCTATTGAAAGGGAGTGGTTCCTTCTCCCTCATCAAGACCTACCCAGCTCTTTGGGCTGAGGCCCTCTCCCCACCTTACCAGTGTTGTAGAACACAGTGTTGACGAACGTGCAGTTGCGGAAGAATGTGTTGCTGGATGTGATGTCCTCAAAGTAACACTCCTCGAAGAGGGAATCTTCAAAGGACACGGACTTCAGACGCAGCCCAATGAACCTGAAAGGGCAGAATGATGAGACGCTGTCACCTTCACCCTCCTCCAAGTCTCGCCCCTCAGTAGAGTAATGGGAATCTTGGCATTGAGGAGAAACCATAGAAGTTGCCCCAAACCACCTTGCCGTGAACTCTGACTCATCACAGATAGGGAGAGGTGAATTTTAACGGTCTCCACATACTTGTCATTGAAGTACTGTCCCCCTCGGTGGATCTGATTTTCCAGTGTGAAGTTGAAAGTCACATGCTCTACACGCTCCCCAGGGAACACTTTGGTTCGGGCTGCATAGTCCACCGACTGCAGATGGCGGATCATGTCGGGAAACCAGACAGTCAGTCCGTAGTAGCTGGGGAATCAAGGCCAGTGGAATCAGCGCAGACTCCACATTAGAAGAGACTGTGCACAGTGGGGCAGAAACCCACCTGTGTCAGGGCATGGCTCCCCTTGCACTCCTTCCTTCCCAGCTATGTTGGTTCTGGGGACTTCAGGGTCTTCTCTGCCATCTACCACACTCTCCTTTTTTGTTTTGTTTTAGTATGTTTTTTGAGACAAGGTCTCACTATGTACCTCAGGCTGTCCACAAACCCACGGCGATCCTCCTTCTCAGCCTCCCGAGTGCTACCACACTCTTATCTCCCAAGCATCTGTTCTTCCCTCTGCTTAAAACTTTCCCAGCCCCCGCTCCACAGCCTCTAACTCCCATTCACCTTTAAGAATTCGGGTCCCCAACCCCCAAGTCCCAAGTGCTACAGCACCCTTCCCCGCCACCCTGGCACCGTCGCCCTGCTGCATAACTGGATTTATCTACTGTGCCTGGGTCACGTCTCCTCCACCCCAGCACAGGACCCCCGAAGAAGAGAAGTTAGTCCCAGTCGGATACTAGTGTGTCGAATGAATGAATGCAGCAGAGGAGCCGGCTGGACCACTGGGGCATCTGAACCACACCTTCTCCTTCTTTCCCATTTGTGCCCTCCTTCCCACTTCCCACACCTCTCTCCCAGCCCATCCACCACCACCACCACAGTACCCACCCCACTCAGCCCTCACCTGAAAGACATGGTGAACCACACGCCCATCATCATCAGAGTGATGCGTCGATATTCGGGACCAAAGCAGGACAGAAAATTCCCCCAGACCTACAAGGAACCAAGCGAGCCAGAAGGTGGCTGCACTGACTCCAGCAGACACAGATAGAGCCCCATTTCCCCGCCCTCCCATCAGTCCCCCTCCCCTGCCTCTCCCCGCCCCTTCTCTGTCTTCACACACCATCCCCTATTACCTGCCCCCCCAGGCTCAAGGCCCGGACCCCCCAGCGCTGGTACCAGGTCCCTGTGTCTGACTGGATCTCAATCAGTTCATCCTCCTGATGAATTGTCTTAATGTGAGTTACCTGGGGTGAGGAGAAGGAATGAGCAGTCACACACTCTGGATTTCCCTAGCTCCAGCAGGGGCATGCCTCAGTTTCCCTGCAGTAGCAATATCACTGAGGTAGAGTGTGGTCTGAGGTATGCAGGAAAGTAGGTGGGGGAGCTCCAGAAAAGGCCAAGTAGGGGCTGGGGCTGCATCAGCTCTGTGGCCTGGGTGGGGAGGGAGAGCGCGGCTTACTGAGAAGACTCGTTCCGGGTGTCCCTTGGCGCGCATGTTGGTGTCATGAACCTGCTTCAGCACCATCCAGGCCTCGTCGTGCTTGCCGTTCTACAGCCACAGACAGAATCCCACATCTCAGTCAGCCCTTCCTGACCCAGGGTCCCAGAGCTCCTCCCTCCAACCTGGCTTCTGGAGTCCCAGCCCACCCAGGACCCCTGGCCCATGACCAGGTATCACCCCAAGCTGGGCTAGCAGACATAATCAGACCTGGGCAAGGTCTGGAGACAGGGGACTGCCCTGGGGACAAATGTAAACACAGGTCCTAGGGATTCCCTGGTACAATGGAAAGAAAAACCGGAAGCCAAGGGAACTGACGGGCAAGTGTGCAGTCGGAGAAGGAGCAGCATCCTAACCCTGCTGTACCTAACCCAGGTGCAGCTGGAGGCGAAGGAAGAAGAGGTAGGGACTTTTCCTGAGCTATAAAGTCAGGGCCAGGACCAAGACCCATGCCTGTGAATCTTAAACCAACCACAATTGAACAGGTTCCTCATGTCTGCACCCACAGATTATCTCCAGAAATGCAATCTGAGACAAAGAAGCAAGATCAAGCCCCCCACCCAGTACAGAGCCTTGAGGAAGGAAGGCAGCCAGACCCACAGCGAGTGTCTAAGCACAGAGGCCCCTGCTGCCCTCCACCCACCCCACCCAGCATGGCCCCATTCACCTCCAGGAAGAAGCGGGGGCTCTCGGGCTGCGTGGTCAGAGCCCCAATGGCAAACACGGAAGGAAAGGCGCAGACGAGGACAAAGACCCTCCAGCTATGGAACTGGTAAGCAGAACCCATCTGAAAACTCCACCCTGGCAGAGACAGAGTCAGCATCAGCAGAGAAGCCAGAAGCCAAGGCTCGGAACACAGGAGCCCAGGAAAGAGGGGGAGGCCGGGCTGGGGTGCACCCTAGGGACTGCTCACCATAGTGGGGAATGATGGCCCAGGCCATAGCAGCTGCGTACACTCCGCCAATCATCCAGAACATGCAGAGCCAGCTCAAATGCTCCCCGCGCTTCTCCTGGGCCAGAAACTCCGAGAAGTAGGAGAAGACAATGGGGATGGACCCCCCAATCCTGAAGGGCATTTTAAGAATTCAGCATTAGAAAATGCCCATTATCCCAAACCCAGTGCTCTGGACTCCCAAGTCCCTGCCACGTCTTCCAGAGATTTTGGTTTTTGGGGTTGTTTTGATTTGTTTTGTTTTGTTTTGCAGTGCTGAGGATTGAACCCAGGACCTGTACACTGAGCTACATCCCCAGCCCTTCTTACTTTTTGAGACCAGGTCCCACTAAGTCACTAAGCTGCCCACCCTGGGCTCGAACTTGTGACCATCATGCCTCAGCCTTCCAGAGTGCTGGGCTTACAGGTATATGCCATCATGCCTGGCCTCTTCTGTGGCTTTTTTTTAGACAGGGTCTCACTATGTAGCCCAGGCTGGCCTTGAGCTCATGGAGATCCTCCTGTCTCAGCCTTCCGAGTGCTGGAATAACAGGTGTGCACCACCATGCCTGGTCACTTCCATAGTTTTTTTTTTTTCGGTACCAGGGATCGAACTCGGGTCCTTGCGCTTGTGCAGTAGCCAGCGAAACCACTGAGCTAAATCCCCAGCCCTCCATAGCTCTTTTTAAGAGACACTATCCACACATATTCCCCTATAAGCTTCTCTCACTATCAGGCATCAAGTACCCATCCTTAGCGGGAAACAGGCAGGTAGGTCTCAGAGTAAGGGAAGAACAAACATTAAATCCTGAAGGTGACTAGAGTTGGTGGGAAAGGATGATATTTGCAGAAAAGGGACAATCTCCAGACAACAAAGATGGGCAATGAATAGCATTCGGCTACAGGGCAGAAAAGAGCTTGGAGAGAGGGGGAGTGAGGGCCTGTGGGTGCCGGGGGAAATGGAGGTGTGGAGAGGGAAGGCTTCCAACTGTGGCAATGTGGGTGTGTCGTCAAGTGCAGGAAACATGTAGTCTGGAGGCAATAACTCTAGGGCTCACCAGAGCCCAGGGGTGAGGCGGAGGCCCACCGGGCCCCTTGTGGGCAGGCTCAGAAACAGGACTGAAGTGGGGTGAGGCTCAGGAGGGGACCAGCCACGGTCCTGCATTCAGCACAGTAGCAGACAGGCCCTGGACAGGGGAAGCCTAAAGATGGTGGGGGAAGAAAGGAATTCATTCATTCATTCATTCAACTTACACATATTTAAACACCTGATGTGCTAGCACTATGCAGGGCCCTAAAGATATAACAGTGAGCAAGATGCAGCCCTGGCTTCAAAGGGCTTAAACTGTGGATACTCACCCAACCCCAGAAAGGAGGCGGCAGAAGAGGAAAGTGCCGTAACCCTGGACGAAGGATGAGAAGAAGGCGAAGACGCTGTTGACTGAGAGTGAGATGAGCAGGCACTGTCTCCGACCCAGCCGATCAGCCAGACCGCCCCAGAGAAAGGCTCCCACCATCATGCCCAGGTAGACAATGAGGCCTGGAGGGAAGAGCACGACAGGCGAGAGGGCTGTGAACAGACACACCTCAGTTCTGCCATCAGCTCAACGTCTGCAGGAGTGGGAACCAGCAGACTCAATCAAGGATCTGATGAACCTAGAAGCCAAGTCTACTCAGAGATAAGAGCAAGTGAGGATAGGATCTGCCTACATCCGCACCCTCCCTGGGCCCTCTCTAGCCTCCCTTAAAGCAGCAGGAGGTCTCTCTTTCATTCCTCCGGAAAGAGGCTCAATTCCTTTAATCTTCCCAGGAAATTCCTCACACAAATCCATCCTTCACTCCTTCCTGTCCCAATACTTCCGGTCCTAAAACTCCCCAGTTTATTGTTTCCTTCATAAAATCAGAATTGGAATTGATCTTTAAAATCATCTGCTCTGCAGAGGGCATGGTGGTGCACATCTGCAATCCCAGCACTCGGGAGGTGAGGCAGGAGGGTCACCGTGAGTTGGAGGCCAGCCTGAACTACATGGTGAGACCTAAATACATAAATACCTAAATAATTAAATTAAGTCATCTACTCTAAATTTTCATTTTACCCATGCCCAAACTCAGCCCCAAGGAGACCTGTCCAAGGCACAACAAGGCCTCAGTCCTCTCTCAGTGAGTCTAGGGCCCTCCCCCTTGGGTCCCCATCAGGAGAGGCCATCAGACATCACTCCCTAGTGCCTGAACACTCCCAACTAGTCTGAATGAGGGACTAGGGATCCCTACCCTCACCACCCCAAACTGACCTTCCCCTTTATCCCAGGGACTTTGAATACTGACTTCATGTTCCGCTTAGGGAAAGGGGACAGGGTAGCAAGAGGGAAGGCTATGAGGAAACATTAAGCCCAGTGTAGCAGCATATGCCTGAATCCCAGCACTCTAGGAGGCTGAGGCAGGAGCATGGCAAGTTTGAGGCCAGCCCAGATAACTTAGCAACTTTGAGACCCTGTCTCAAAATACAAAAATATTTAAAAGGGCTGGGGACAGTGGCTGAGAGCAAAGGCCCTGGGGTTTTTATTTCCAGTACCACCAAAACAAAACAAAAGAGGAGAGGAATTATTAAACAGTGACTCATCCCACCATGGCCACCTCCTACAGAACTAACTATGCCCAAGTCCCAGTCCAGCTGCTTTCCCCAAACCCCTCTTTCACATACAACTTCACTGACGCTACCCCAAAAGAGGGTGTAAGGAGACAGTGGACACAGGAACCCTGGCCCTCTGGAAACAGCTTGGAGGCAGGGTCCGTGGGAGCCTAGTGGGACGGATTAGCGCTGGTCCCAGGAGCAAGTGCCACTCCAGATGTTTCTAGCCTGGGCAGCACAGGACCAGAGCGCCCCGCCATGTCTTACCCAGCATGCCTTTGTTGGAGTCGGACAGGCACATGTCTTTCTCAGCACTGGGCAGCACGAAGCCCACCACGAAGACCTCGACACCGTCAGCCATTAGCGCCAGGCCGAGCACAAAATAGAGCGTCCACTGAAAGCGGCCGTGGCCACACTCCCGCAGGATGGCTTCATATTGCTGGGCCAGCTCTTCCCGTTCTTTCCGCCGCTGTGCCTCCCCACGACCCCCGGGAGGGCCTTCCCCGTCACTCAAGCCCCCTCTCACTCCAGCCAGGGCCGCCCCATCTGCCATCCGCTCGCCTTTGCCCCCAGACTCTGCCCGGGGGATGCCCTGATATTCGCCCTCGTAGATCTCATCATCCTCATCGTGGCCCTCAGTGGCATCGCTGGATGCGCCACCTTCCTCGTCGTCCTGGGCCCCTTCCCCACGGTAATAGCCATCGGCGGGGGCCGGGTAGTCGTCATCATCCTCCTCTTCCTCGAAGCGAGAGTAGGACCTGCGGGAGTATTCATCCTGGACTCTGTCCAGGCCTTTTACCACCTTCTTGGTCGCATGCTTCTTGACTTCCTTGGCAATGTCTTTGGCCCCACGGATGAAAGCCGCCCGGTCTCGGAAGCCCTCTTCCATGATGAGGCTTTAGGGCACTTCCCCAGATCTGCTTCACTCTCTGCTTCTTTTTCAGCTTTTTGCTCAAGGGTGAAGTTATGTTCCAGTATCTTTGGGCTCAAAATAAGAAAAAACAGGATGTGGCTAGTGGGTGTCTATGCGTGGAAAGGAAGAAGGGAATGTCTGATCCACACCTAGTTCAGCAGGGTGAGCAGGAAAGGGAGATGGGGGCTAGGGATGGGAAGGGAAGGGGAGCCAGGTTGGTGGGCATGAGCTGGGGAGCCAGGATAGCACAAGAAAGGCTTTCTACTTCCCTTCCAGGAACCTCTGGACACCTAGAAAAAGTAAGAGAGAAAAAGGAAGCCATGAGTCCTAAGATGATGAAGGCCAATAAAGAGATGCTCTCAACCCTCAGCCCCATCTGGACCATGTGGTGAAGGATGGTCTCCCTGCTTCAGGCCACCACTCGTAAACAAGGATGATTATTTGGGCCAACTGTGGGGCATTCAAATATTAGTCCACTTTCTTTGACCTTGGAAGCCAGGCCCAATCACAGTCGCCTACCTGAGCCTTCCTCCTAACCTCCTACCCTACGTCAAGTTCAGGCCCCTTCCTTTATTCCCAACCTGCAAAGAACAAACAAGAAACATGAAAAAGCAGAATTCCCTGCTCTAGTATGGTCTGGGATTCCTGGGTGCAAAGCTTGGGAAGGATGTACAGCAGGAAGCCAAGCCCTCTCTAATCGACTGCCTTCAGTCCCCTGGTGACAGCTGAGAGGTGGGTTCCACAGTTTTTTCATGAGGTTCCAAGTTTACAGGCCTCCCAAGGAGGATTTTCTCCCAACATAGCCTAGTGCACAAATGTGGAGCTTCCAGTGTCAGACAGACTTGCTTTGACTTCCTGCTTTGCATTTATTGCTAAGCAATCACGGGCAGGTTCTAAACACCCATGGCTCAGTTTCCTCACAATTAAAAAAAAGGCAAAGTCAGGATTAAATGGCACAATGCACATAAGCTCCTGACCATAATACCTGAGACATATGAAGTGACAAATAAATATCAGCTCTTACTATTGAGGTGACTGTAATACAGAGAAATGCCCTACACTAAAAGTCTTACAACAAGGGCCATCTCTGGATACTCTTTAGGGTGAACATCAAGGAGAAGGAGACATCAGAAAGGGACATTATCAAGGAGAATGCTGGTTCAGCACTGGAGACAGATTACCTAAACTGAAATCCCCAATTCTGCCACTTGCTAACAATTCTTAGGCAGGTCACTACAGAGGCAGGTAACCTCTGTAACCCCTTGTGTCTTTAAATTGAAACTGAAGATAAACAGCCAGGTGTGGTGCTACACACCTGTATTGCCAGGACTCTGGGAGGCTGAGGCAGGAGGATCACAAGTTTGCCCAGTCTGGGTAACGTAGTAGAGAGATCTTATCCCAAAATTCAAGTAAAAAAGGGGGCTGGGGATATTTCTAAGAGTAAACATGAGCATTTAATCTCACAGAAGACATGCTATAAATGTTAGCCTCCTCCTTCCTATATGTTGAAAAGTATGAAAGAAGCAGATCATACTTATATGCTGTTCCCCAATATTCTCCCAAGAACCCTCTGTGTTTAAACTAATTCCACATTATTTCCCTTTAGACAAACAAGTGAAGGCCCAAAACATGGAGACTTGGCACCTGAGTAGAATGGACAAGAGGGAAGATCAAAAGCTAAGAAAGTGATGATTGGCTGCCACCACCGTCCCTTAGAATGTCGTGTTTGGTCTCCCTTTCACTGGTGAGGGTGGGAATGGCAATGACTGATCAGGCAAAAACATTTTCTAAGGTAAGGGTCTAAAGTCTATAGTCGTACCTCATTCCTCCAGGGCCTCCCTTCCTAATCCCCCTTAATCCTTTCTGCTTCTCCTCCAGAAGTCAAGGAAAAAGGAGTCCACAAATACCGCATTGCGTAAGCAGCTAGTAGAGAATAAAGGGGGCCTTGGGCTGCACCCCCCAGGGACATTCTCCAAAGGGAGGCACAGGATAACCTTCTTCCTTCATAGACACAAAAGATGCAGGCCTAGCTCAGTCAGAGATCATCCCCCTAAAAATACGCTCCCTCCTTCTGCTCCCACTCATCCAGGGCCTTCATTAAAAATCCCTCTCTCCGCGCGCACTCTCTCTCTCTCTCTCTCTCTCTCATTCTCTCTCTCTCTCCTGTCCTGGTTCAAGAGGGTAAGTGATACTATGTTATTCACAGAGAAGCACTGGACAGCACAGTCTTTTGCCCTCAGGGCAAATGTAAGCAGTGGACCACAGTGACCAGAAGCAGTGACCCCTATGTCACCTTCTTTTCTTCATGGTTCAGGGCCCAACCATCCTCCATGAAAGAGAAGGAACTGTCAAATCTCCTCAGTCCAAGGCAATCTGCATTCCTTTCTTTTCTTTCTCTACCAGGGTCTTCCCCAAACCCGGCAGGAAGCAGATGGACCCACCAGGAGCCGTACCCTGTGTTTGTTGACACTGTTTATCCCTGAGAGATACATGTGGTGTAGAACAGGCTCCCTCAGCCACTGCAGGACATGATGGCTCAACAGCCAGCTCCCCCAGGCCCAGCAATCCCAGGAGGGAGAGAAAGAAGACAGATTCTTTGCCTGGTGAGGAAGTGGTGCTATTTTTAGTCCCCAAAGCAGCACAGAGTGGCTAAGCCTGTAGAAAAGAGACAACACTTGGCGAGGTGGAGGTTAAAGGAGACAAAATTCAGGTTTACAAGGGCCCTTTAAGGTGGCTCACCAGGAAAAATGTGCCCAGGAGATATTCTGGAGATGGTGGGAAGAGCAAATGATTCCTCCTGGACAATTTGCCCCTGTCCATCAAGGCCCTGACTTTGGGGGTCACTCAGCTCTCCAGCTCACCCTACCCCAGGTGACAAGGACATTAAGAAGCAGTCACTTTTCAAAACGCTGGAGGAGGAGGGGGCAGAGCGCCCCTCCCCCTGACAACTAGATGGTTAGGCTCAGCCCCCACCTCAGGACCAAGGCTGCACCTCCCCTCCCCACAGTCTACCCCTGGGTTAGAAAGATGGGAGCATCCACAGCTGGGCGGGGGGGGGGGGTCAGCTGAGCATGCACAGGGAGGAATGCACACAGAGAGGGAGGCAGAGGCAGGGACGCAGGAGGAGACCTCCATACGCACACGCTTAGGGACCGTCCCTACCAGCATTGGCAGCCACCCCCTAACCTCATCTTGCCTCAGCCCCTGTGTAAGAGGCGAGCCCCAAGAATTCACTAACCCATTTCTCCAAGCACCTCCTCACCCTTGGTCCTGCTGCTGGACAAGTGCCCACCATCGCTCGGCAACCCCCGCCATCCGTGCCCCCAACACCTGGTCCTTTACCATCTCTGGTCTCCCCAGCGTTTCCATTCTTCATTTCCTCCCCTCCATCCGTCACCTGCCCCCCCCCCAGTCCAGCCAAGCAGACTGAGGCACATGCACTCTCTGGCCACAGCCAAGGTCATTTATCATTCATGGGGGGAACGGTAAGGTGAGGAGTTTGAGAGAATCATATCCTACCTAACAACCCCTACCGGGCTAATCTCTGAAGAAGGTAGTGGGGACGTGGCTAAGGTAAAGAAAAAAACAATATATATATATATATATATATATATATATATATATATATATATATATTCATTCATATATTCATATATATATATTCATTCTAAACACACAACTAAAATAAATGCGGATTCCGGAGCATCACCAAGCCCCTCGCCCCCAGAGCGGGCACGGTCACCCTCCCCTTCAGCAAAGCATCGCAGGGTAAAATGGCTGCAAGGCAAGGATGCTCTGCCAGGGCGGGGGGGAGGTGACGGACGGAGAGAGGGTCTCACCTGGGCCGGGTTCCCCGGGCCGGGGCGTGCAGGGCGCGGGCGGGGGTCCGGCGCGGGCTGAGGCGGCCGCGGCGACTGCTCTGGTGCGGGAAGCGGCACTGCAGACCGCCCCCCCCTCCGGCCCCGCCTCCGCCCCCCGCCCGCCGCGCCGCCGGCAGCGGGAGAGACCATTGGGGGGGGGGGTTCGGGGAGCGGGGAGAGGACGCGGGGCGGGGGCGCTGTCACAGGACGGCTGGAAATGACATACGGCCCTTCCCAGATCCTTCCTCGTAAAAAGGGAAAGAAACTAAGGAAAGACAAATAGTGATTTTAGGAAGACAGAGGGAGGGAGGTGGTAAATGAGGAAATGAGGCAGCCCCTTCCTCAGCACCTCAGCCACGGGAAGGCAGAACCCAGGAGATTCAGGGGCTCCTGCTGCCCAGAAAACACATCCCTTCCTCTTAACCATTGCTCGCAAACTCCTTTCCTACAGCCTTCTTCCAAATCCAGAGTGCTCAGACTCCAATTACCTGGATATTTTAGAGAGCAAGGATAGCAAGGTGTGGTTTCCATCCTGAACTGCCAGAAGCCGATTCCTGAATACCTGCCCTCTCTCCTCCAGAAACCGTCCCGATTGTTTACCTACAGGGCAGACTGCATCCTCTCATCTTCCTCCGTTCAGTGGCTGGCCGCAGGGGTGGGCAGTGGAGAAGCTGGGAGGGGCTTCACAGATCCGAGCAACTGGACATTCCCCCTTCCATTCATTTGCTTCAGTGACTCAAAAAGGGATCCCCTCAATCCCCTTCCCCACTTTCTTTTACTCCCCTCACTACACACACACACACACACACACACACACACACACACACACACACACACGCACACCCCTACTCCAGAACAGGAAAGAGTGAATTTGGCTTCAATTCTTTAATTATTCCTTTGCCCCTGTAACCGATACCCGGACTCAGAGACCCACGACATACCGCTTGGTCACACGGATGATGGTCCCTCTGCATGGAGGAGATGGTACACGGGGGTTTGAGGATGTACATCCTGAGTGCATCTATTCCAGGTAAGGCCTTAGGGTGTTCCAGACAGAACACAGATCAGGAGCTCCAACCTTGGTCCTCTCTTCCAACTCACTGTTGGCTCTTGGCTAAATTCCCTGCCTCTGTGAACTTCAGGTTTCTTGTCTGGAAAATAGGGTGTCTCGGACTAGAAGCTGCACCAGGTCCTTTTCAGTTCTAGTAGAATACGATCTGCTTTACTAATGTGGAAGTTTAAGGATGCTGGAACATATTACCTAGAGAAGGTTGGCAGCCATGTCCCAAGAACTCATCGGTGGTATTTGGCATATTGAGCTTACCACTGGGCTTGAGCTTTGTATGCTCCAAAGCTGGCTTTTGGAAATACTAGTTGGTGCCAACAAAATTCACAATTTACTGAAATACAGAGCCATAATACATAAATATTATAAACATTTAACTGTCACTCAGACAGAAAACTCATGTGTACATGTCTAATAAATTCTCTCCCTAAAGCCAAATCAGAATCATGTCAATGTCGAAATCCACAACGATATCACTGAACAGGAGATTTGTATCTTTAATGCCATCTGGCCATCCCCAATAAGGAATCATGCCAATAGGTCCAGAAGACTCCTTGGCAACAGTTCTCTACCCCACCTCTCTGCTACAGGCAACCTTGCCAGTGCTCCTAGACTGCTCACGGTGATGGCTAAGGACACTTTCTAGGATGGCACTTGGCACGGTTCTGCCCATGTGGGCCTTGGGGACTCTCCCTTTACTGGTATTTCAGTGCCATTCCTCTTCAGGGTGAGATATTCTTTAAGCATGTTAATATTTCCAATAGGGTTATAGCCATGTCCTGACGGCAGGAAGCCATTTCTTCTCTGTAAGGTGATTTTGTATACTCGGCTGATACATACTTGCTAAAATAGAAATACTGCACTCTTAGAAGAAAAATTTTTTTTCTCTTTAAATTATGGGAACATGTAATATTTTCCTCCAGATGCCACAGCTTTATCTTCCCCAGTCTCCCTGGCTGGGTTCATTCACATCAGTTGTTCCTAGGGGCTCAGCCCTAGGCCCTCCCAGCCTCCTTTCTCCCTTCCCCTCGGTGAGCTCGGGCAGCCCCACAGCTTTATTGTTGTCTCCACCTTGATGATTCTCACATTTGTATCTCTATTCTAGACATTCCCAAACCAAACTGGTCTACCTACTCAACATCACCACATGGATATCTTAACATGGGGCAGCTAGAACTCCCAAGCCAGTAGCCCTCCCTTCTCTGCCCCCGGAAGCAACTTCCTTTTACTTCCATGTTTGCAAGAAGGTTGTGTGTGCAGGGGGTGAGAAAGATCTGAGAAGCACCGATGTATGGGAGCTCCCCAACCACCTCTGACCTGAGCCTCCAGCACCAAACCAGCGTTGTGTGCTGAATATTGTGCTGTTTACATTTCTGCCCAGGAACATCCCATCCCCCTGAATCGAGCTGTTCCTTCATCTTTGCCTGGAAAACCTCTACCCTCTCACCCCACCCTACACTGAGCTACACCTCCAGCCCTTTTTATAAATTACTACTTTTTGAGACAAAGTCTTGCTAAACTGGCCAGATTGGGATCAAAATTGCAGTCTTCTTGCTTCAGCTTCCCAGTGCTGGGATTACAGGTAAGCCACCACGCCCAGCTACCCTTCCTTTATGATTAAATTCAGACACCACTTTTTTCCTGGAAGTTCTCCTAAACTTTCATGCCAGGTTAGATGCCTTTCTTCCCACTCTGAAAATAGTTTCAATAACATTTTATGCATTTTATACTTTGTTTTCTTTTTTTTTTGGTACTGGGGATCCCCTCCCCTCAGTGCTATGGTAATGGAGCCCAGGCTACTTCAAACTCCAGGTGATCCTCCTGCCTCAGCCTCCCAAGTGATGGGATTACAGGCATGTGCCACCACACCCAGTTAGCTTTCCATTTATTGACATAAGCAAATACACATATGTGCTGACCCTCAGGTGAGGTAGCACACTATACATATTATTTTCATTTAATATAACCCAGAGATCTCTCCACAACAGTATGCGGTGATGGCGAACCTTTTAGAGCTTTCAATGATAGGTGTCATAAGTTCACCACCACTGGCATAAAGAATCTTTTTTTTTTTTGGTGCTGAGGATTGAACGCATGACCTGATACATAGTAAGCATACTCTAGCACTCAGGTACACCCCCAGCTCTTTATCATTTTTCTCATAGTTGCATAGTACCATACTATGTGGATTTACCAATATATTCAACCAACCCTTTCCTGATGAGCATGTAAGTTGTTTCCAATCTACTATTATTTCAAACGGGCGGGGGGGGGGGCAGTGCTGCAATGAAACTTCATACATATTACTTCATATTTTTGCCAGTATCTCTAGGTACTTTACCTCTGTTTTAATGTCTCGCCTGCATGTTAAAAGCCATAAGACAAGCTCTATATAATCAAACAAGTACTCTAGTGTAAACAGAGATCAGCCACTCCAGTAGCACATTACAGAATAGGCCTTAAAATGTATATACTAGCTGAGCAGTGACATATGCCCTGTAATTCCAACTGTTCAGAAGGCAAGTGGATCACAAGCTCAAGATCTCCTGGGGCACCTTACCAAGTCCCTGACTCAAAATTTAAAAAAAATAAAAACAGCTGGATCCCCAGCTGGTAAAGTGCCCCAGGGTTTTTTCCCAAAAATCACCATAAATAAATAAATACCCTTGCTCCTTTTTTTTTGGTACCAGGGATCAAACTCAGGTCCTTGCGCTCCTTGCTCCTTCCTTACCTTATTGTTCCTACCAATACCCTGACATCTCTTCTTAAAAATTACTAAAGAAAACACCAAAAAGAATAAACAAAGAGTATAGTTTTATTTTCTCTGGGCACTTTCAAAACACTTAGGATGAAAATAAAAAAGACAAAGAAAAATCTCCTGTGAAGAAATTTACATTAAAAAGAGGAGGTTGGGCAAGGACAAGTCCCCAGTACCCCCAAAAAAAAGAGGAGGTGGGGGAGGCTGAGAGAGATTTGTGCCTTAGCCACAAGGAGCTACAACAACTCTGACTGGTCCGAGGAATCACAAAGATGCTAGGGGAATATGAGGAAAGAAAATGAGAATCTACTGAGGGAGAGGGCCCCGGAGTGGGCCACGAGGAGGAACAGGAGGCCGGGGAGTAGGTCTGGGTGGAGGCAGGGGTCCCCGCTGGTAGCCATAGGGAGGGGGTCGTGGAGGCCCAGTATATCCGTGTGGGGGCATCAGTGGAGGAGGCCCTCGCATACCATGTGGAGGCATAGGACCTGGGTGACCTGCATGAACAGAGAGAAAAGTTAGTACAAGTGAGAAACAGGAGATAACTGATACTGGGAGAGACGACAGGGAGCCAGGGAGAAGGAATACAAAAGGTAAAAAAAAAAAAAAAGTGCACAGGACAAGGGATGTGCGAAGAAAGCTGAGACTCCATATGAGACGAAGGAGGCCACTCACCCATGGGAGATCCAAATGGAGGCCCTCGGGGGGGCATGCCCATGGGAGGAGGTCCAGGGTGAGGCATTCCAGGTGGCGGCCGGGGCGGTGGCTGTCCCCCAGAGCCTGGAGGCCCAGCATGGGGATGTCCTAAGCCATGGGGGCCATGGTGGGCCAGCTGCATCTGAGACATCCCTGTGAAAATAACACAGAGGGCCAGGGATTTAGCTCAGTGGTTCTGGTGCCTGCCTCGCTCGCAAGTGCAAGGTCCAGAGTTCGATCCCCAGTACCAAAGAAGAAAAGAACACAGAGGCAGGAAAGGAGACAGAGGAAAACAGAGAAGAGGGCAAAGACAATGAAGAAAGGAAGAAACCAAAATGACAAAAAAGTGACATTTGCCCTATCCTTGACCCCTCCCCACAGCACAAACCGACCATGCAGGAAACCAACTCCTCACCCACCTCACTTGCTATGATTTAGGCACTGTAACGGTGATATGAAAGCGTGCTAACAAGTACAGGGATTGGCTTGCTGTTGACAAAATTAGAGAAGGTAGGAGAAACTACTTGAGCAAAGATAATCCTAAAGGATGAATAAGAATTCTTCAGGAAGAAAGTGGGAACAGACCATCCCAGGCAGAAAGATTGGGATGTGCAACTCACAGGTGTGTCAAACAGCACTATGTATTCCAGAAAATATGAGCAACCCTGTGATGAGGAGCAACACGCACTTATGGGAGTAATGGGCAGGGTCATGAAAAGCTCTTTCTGCTTCAGTAATTTGTTTGGGTTTTACTCTATAAATAAAAGGAAGCAAGAGAAGAATTTCAAGAAAGAATGTGAACATCTATCTTAGAAAAACTATTCTGCTGAAGTAAATAAACTGGTGTCAAAATGAAAGATTACTATAATAAATCAAGTGCGGAATAATGAGAAAATAGCCTGAATGAGGGACTGACAATGGGTAGGTGCCAGGGAAATAAATCTTGGTATGCAGAGTAGAAGGACAGGGAATAGTCAAACTCCCAAGCTTATGAATTGTGCACCTGAAAACAAAGACTATTAGAGGAAGAACAGGTTTGAAAGAGAAGATCAAAGCACCAGGATTATGAGTCTGGCTTGTTAATAACCATGGACTAGAAGGGAGGCTGAGACAGGAGGATCACAAGTTTCAGCCCAGCTTGGGCAACTTGGTGAGACCCTGTCTCAATAAATAAATAAAGGGCTGAGGATGTAGCTCAGTGGCCTGTGTCTGCCTGGCAAGCACAAGGTCCTGAGTTTGATTCCCAGTACCAGAAAAAAAGATAAATAAATAAAAAGGGCCAGTGCAAAGCCCCTGCTTCAGTCCCTAGTACAAGAAAAAAAATTGCCACAGAATACAGAAAGAGATCCAGATCACATCAATATCTACATAATTAAAGCTATGGTTTCATACTGAAAAAGAGAACCAAGCAAAAAATCTAAGCACAAGCAGAGAAAAATATCAAAGGTAGCTGAGACTGAGTCAGAGAGGGGTAGCGAATCCAGAAAAACAAGCAAAAGACCAGAATTTCAAATAGAAAGACATGGCTAATTTCAAGTACAGGAGAAGTTAAATCAGATAAGGAACAGAAGTGTCCCCTAGATTTGGCAGTTGACTCACTGGAGTGGAACCAGATGAGATAATGAAAGTAAAAGTCAAGGAAACAAAAAGTAGAACATTCAGACTACTCTTCAGAAAAAGACAGTGTGCAAGTATACAAAGTAAAGCATTTTGGGACTGTTCAAAGGAAAGGAGAGCTCCGGGTTTGTTATCCTCGGGGAACAAAGGGGACTAGGATGAGCAGTGACACAGCCCCTCTAGCAAGCTTATCACCCCCTTTCCCAGCAAAGAACACCTACCTGGATGGGGCATCCCAGCTGGTGGGAAGGGGTGAGGATGCGAATGTCCATGACCAGGATGCCCGGCCCCTGGGGTTCCTGCTGATGGGGGACCATGTCCTCCAGCCCCAGGAGGCATAGGTGGTGGGGGCATAGCTGGCGGTATTCCAGGTGGGAGCGCTCCGGGAGGTGGTACTGGCGGTGGGAAGGAGCCAGGAGGTGGCATGCCTATGTAGAAAATGAAAAGAAGGAAGATTTTATGGTAATAAAGATAGAAGGGCTTGAAAGCACCTGTCTCAATCTGGCGTCTGTGGGCAGGGTGAGTTCTTTACCCTCCTGCCAGTACTCTAAATGGTCAAGTTCCAAAAGAAATGCAACAATTTTCTTCACCACTATCTCACTCCATTCCCCTCTCTCATCAATCATTGCCTCAGTGTCCCACTCTCTCAGGGTTTTTTCTTCCTCCTCTTCCCCTCCAACAGCTTAGACAAAGATATTCTGAACCACACACTTTACCTGGTGGAGGAAGCCCAGATCCCAGTGATGATACTACAGGATTGGGGGCAGAAGGTGGAGGGGGTGCATCGGCGAACAACTGATGAGGCCGGTCAGCCTGAGAGAGCGGGTTCTGGGCTGCCAGAAGTCGTTCAGCTGCTGAGCCATGGCGCTCACCCTTAGAGTCCTTCTTGAAGGCATAAGACACAGTGATAGGGCGATTACAGAGGTACTGCCCATTCATGGCCTCAATGGCTGCATCCGAAGCATCAAACGAAGCAAAATTAATAAAGGCATAACCTTTGGAGTTGCCTGTGTCAGGGTCCCTCATAATCTTGGGTGTTTGTAAGATGACCCCAAAGGCGCTGAAAGTATCATAAAGCAGCTTCTCATCAATCTCTGGGTCCAGGTTCCCAATAAAAATGTTGGCCCCTACATCCAGGTTTTTGTTATGAGCTGATGCTTTGTTCACTCTTATTGGCTTCCCATAGAGTTTGATCATGTTCATAATTTTAATGGCATAATCAGCATCTTCCTCACTCAAGAATTCAACAAAGCCATAGCCTGGAGAAATGGAGAAGGGAAGGTTAACAACTCAAATGAAGAGAGTCAAAATGGGGCATAAGCCATCCACCCTCGAATCTTAAAGAACATGAAGCTTAAAAGAAAGAAATCCTTCACGAACTCTGAACCCAAGCTCAAGGGAAAGAAATCTTTATGTTGCCCATTCCAAAACAGTTGTGAATACTGTCAGGACTTTTCAGGAGCTTTTGTCCCCTAAATATACAAATTCACTTCTTGCCATGTACTCACCTTGGTGCTGGCCAGTAACTCTATCCTTTGGCATATGGGTGTTGACGACTGGCCCAGCCTGGAGAAAGAGTTCCCACAGCAGTGGTTCACTAACCTTCTCGTCAAGGCCCCCCACATACACAGTGGCATCTCGAGGGAGGGAAGAAAAGAGGGAGGCAGATGGTTAGGGTAGGGGTGAATATATGACAGAAACGAAAGAGGTGATGGGAACATGCAGACAGAATCCAGGCAGGGGAATTGGGGGTAGGGATGGGGTAGGGGGAAAAAAGAAAAAGAAAACTCGTTAGATTAAGCATATAAAACTTCCTAGGAGGGCCGGGGATTTAGCTCAGTGGTTTCGACGTCTGCTGCACAAGGGCAAGGACCCGAGTTCGATCCCCGGTACCAAAAAAAAAAAAAAAGTTAAAAAACAAAATAAAACAAAAATAAAAGACAAATAACTTTAAAAAAAAAAAAAAACTTCCTAGGACCTAGAGAATCTTCTAAAAATATAATTTATGTTCTGCTGCAGATTTTGTCTGCTGTGGGTATTTCCTTTGTCTTGTTTGCTTTTCAGTGGGCAAAAAGAAGGGGATTGGTCCTAGAAGCATCATCACACATACAGGCCTCAGCCTGCACCCAGCCACCTCGCCCCCAGTAACCGCGGGGGTGGGTCGGCCTCGCGCCTGCCCAGGGCTCCGGTCTCCCCAGCTGACAGAAATGCTGCTGGCCCTAGTCAGGGCATTTTGGCTCCCCGAGGTCCATTCAGGGCTCGTCTCCTCCAGTTACCTTGATTCCGTTCAGAGATCGGCCCTGCAGCCATGACGAAAAAGGTCCCGCCGTCTCCAAGTGGCAGCTCCGCCCTCTGACCTGTTACTACTTCCGCTTCCGGGGCGAAGGGTGGGAATTGGGTGGGGCCGTAGGGGGAGGGGCCGGAAGCGGGTGCGGCCATTTTAGGAGTCCCTGGAACCAAGTACCTCAGGAGTTTTCGCTTTGGTCGTGCGACCCATCTCAGTGTTGAGGGTGGGACTGAAATTCAGACCCCCGTTAAGGCAGTGCTAAGATGTTACGGAATTTTACTTCTCATAAAAATGTAAATCCAAAAGCTAAAAGAACAGAATTTTTTCTTTAATTTTGCTACCAACAAATCCTTGGTAGCAAGTGATCCTTCTTTTGCTACCCAGAAGAGAGAGGGTGTGTGGAGGATACCCCCAACCTGTGGACTCCGCTGCCTTCGGCCCCACAGCCCTAGTTTGGGCCCCAGGTATTTTATTTTCCCGCAAGGGAGTAGGTGCGCAGTGTCTGAGCTGGAGTGACGTCTGAAGTCGCCTCGTCGCGAGTGCATAGCGGGAGGGAATCAGGTTCCATGACGGGGTGTGACCAAGGATCATGGGTGTTTGCAGTTGAAGCTCAGAGCCCCAACCTCCAGAACACATCTACAGGGATGTTTCAATATGCTTTTGTTCCATGAGATACAGGAAAGAAAACCCTTTTTCTAAACTGCATGTGAATTCTGCAGCGCCTCGCCTGCCCAGTTCCCATATTTCTGTGGCAGTAATATGAGGTGCTTCTTTTACTCCCGGAGCCCAAATTATTCTATGGCACCTAGGATTCTTTATTTAATCCCAATAAGCAATGCCAGAAAAATGTAGAATTACTGTGGTTTAATGAACTCCTTAAATAGAAATGCCACTACAAAAATACACAGTAGGAGGAGAGGGTGTCTCCCATATCTACCTCATTCCCACAGAAAAGTGTAAAGGAAAAAATAGAACTGGAATTAAGGCAGCAGCAGGAAGGGGTGAGAATGAGGTCTCTAGGCCATCTTTTGGGGATTAGGAACAACAGTATTTGCTGATCTCATGATTTAACAGCATGGTCCAAAAGAAATGGGATTGCCCCAGAAAAAATGGCAATTATATTCCAGATAGTTTTTGTCTAATTCTTCAAATCACAGGAAACAAAAATATCTTTAGGAATGAAAAACAGAAGAGCTGGAGATTAGCACCACCATCTCCTGTGGAAACCAAGTCTATTAAGTGTGCTTGCTTAAGACCTGGAATGTGAAAAGTGAGGCAGCACAGCCAAATATGCAGAAGTACAGGATTACATAGAACCCTTCCTCACCCCAGATCCCCTTCGACCCTGCCTTTGAGCCCACCAGCAGTGTCAGCGTGATTGGGGGAGAATGGTATTTGGATCTCTTTTTTTGGAATGATCTTCAGAAGATATTCTTGGTGTCCATTTTCTTAATAGCTCCTGGAGGTGGGATAGCTCATCCTGGAGACCAGCGATTGTGGGAGCTGAGAGGCCCATCTGGGGATGAGACAAAGGGCAGGTCTAGCTTTCTGCTTCTGTTATCTGTCTACTACTTATGGTGTCTTTAATGTTCTTTCCCCTCCCAGCTATGCTCTAAAGTCTGCTGAATCTAAGCCACAAGCAGTTTTTCTCACTTCTTACGCTCCCAAACCTATCCAGTTGGATAACAGCAGGAACAGTACTTCACTTCCCAATCCTCCCAGCCACCTGTCTTTCCAGCTCTGTTCTTCTAGTTCAGTGGTCAAGCCCCTTGTCCCACTCCCAATTCCTGTCTTCCTTCTTACCTGGACTTCAGGCCTTCCCCTCAGGTAGCAGCGTCTCCAGAGCCTGACCTGGGGTCCCAGATATCCAGGCAGCAGTAGCCCTGGAGGTAAAGGGCAGGCTCCCCAGTGTGAGGGGAGTCCCCACTCCTGGTCAGCTAGGCTTTCAGGGGAGATAGCAGGACGAGGGAGCCATCGAGAAGAGACTGCCAGCAGGGAGGGACTGTCTCGCCAAGGACAGAGCTGATTCAGGGGGGTTAGTGCCCCTCTAGAGAAGAGCCACACAGAATTGGGAGGTCCAGGAACCATGAGGCTTGGCTAAAGGGGAAAGGGATGTCAACTGGCAATTGAAAAACCAGATAAGCCCAGTTTCCCCATTCTAGGTCACAGAGGTGTCCAGCTGCCATCCACTCGTTGCACTAGTGACTAAAACTACAGGCCTCCCCCACAGAACTCAACTCTCTTCATTAGGCTTCAACTAGACCTCAGGGCTGATGGAAGTTGATTTTAGAGAAACTCGTAAAATGTGGACATGAGACTAATAAAAGGAAACAAGGAAGACAAAAAGGATGTCCTCTGCCTTTCTAGGACTTCCGTCTTCCTGGTGATAGTCAGGGACTATTAAGTGACAGCTGTACAAGAGGAGTGAGGTACTTTCCCTGAGGAATTCAGACACTGTGTCTCTACCTGCTAGCAGTATGAGCCTGTGGGAAAGTCAAGAGCATTTAGTAAGTTTAGACATCTCACCTGCTGTCTAGGGAACCAGGAATCTGGGTAATGTTCTGGGGCATAGCCAGGATTATGGAATTGTAGTATCTGCTCATTGCTGTAGCGTAAATCCCAGTCCCAGACAGAGAGCTGCAAGTTAACAGAGTTCCCAGCTGGGGGCTGGGAGTACTCTGGGGTGTAAACTTGTGTATAAGAGTTAAACTGGGTAGAGGAAGCAAGAAAAATGATGGTTAAACAAAAATTATATATAATCCGTCCAGATCTAGAGACAATTCATGAAATTCTAATCTATTTCAGGCATCAACTATTGAGCAAAAGTTTCTTTCTTTTTTTTTTTTTTGGTACCGGAGATCGAACTCGGGTCCTTCTGCTTGCGAGGCAGGCAGTGGAACCACTGAGCTAAATCCCTGGCCTGGCAAAAGTCTAATTCAGAGAGTAAGCATTACCTTACCCCTGCCTACTCATAGACCTCACTTTTCATAAAATACATCAATGGGAAAAAATGAAAAGTAGAAGTCACTGACCTGGGCACTCTGCTTCCCACGCTCCCAAGGAGTATTTCTCAGGAAGGTAAGGGTATCAGGAACCCTGACACTGTCATGAAGAGCAAGAAGGAAAAACTCAGAGAATTCAAACTCTGCTGGGAACTGCTGGAGGAGCTGCCAGACACAGTCAAGGAAGAGAAGAAACACTGGGGCCTGAGAAGAGAGAAATTTAGAGATTGGAGGGATCATGGAAATATAAAGAGGAAGGATAATGGAGACACAGGGAAGGGGGCACTAAAGAAGTCAGGGAAGGAAAGTCTAAACCAAAGGTCGTAGGGGCTCTCGGGCCTTCACTCAGCTGGGTCTTCAAGCTCAGCCTGACTTTGGGACCTTCTGACCCAATTTCCCTCCTGTGGACTCTGCTATGCACTTTTCTCGTCCCCCTTACTTCTTTAGTAATGCCCCCCACCAGGCCCTCCAGATGGTTCTCACCTCTTCACTGGCCCCAGTTCCCCCGAAGCGGGTCAGGAAGGGGTGTCCAGCTGCCACCCATTCTCGCTGCACTAGTGATTGGAAGCCAAACAGCGTTCGGGCTTCAGGGGCTGAAAGCAGCTGGACGAGCGAAGAGAGGAGGCCATTGAGATCACGATCACCGCGTTCTGGGTGACAAAGAGGAAGAAGGGACAAAGAAGGGAGGTCCAAGAAACTAGAGAGGAGAGAGGAAGAAGAAACATGGCAAGGAGAAGTGAGGGGCATAGAGGGAGAAGTCAGGGTGGGCAGGGTTAAGAGGGTATGTAGAAGTGAAGAGAAAACAAAGAGCTTGAATGATTCACTTCATAGACTCCACATAGCCTGAAATACCCAGCTTCACATGTAAGACGCAGAATCACCCCTTAAACCAGCTTCCATAGCACCCTTCCCACCCAGCGCTGGCACTTGTGCACTGAGGGAAGGGTGGGCAGAGGGGTGAGAATATCCTAGCCTCAGGGAGAACAAAGAGGGGCAGACAGAGGGGGTTTTGCAGGGAGAAGAGTTACAGCTCATGGGTAGTTCCTAGTAACAGGAGAGGAGGTGCTAGCACTAAGAGAGGACAGGGAGCCTTACAAATCTCGCTCCCTGAACAGAATCCACTTATGTGGGTAAAGGAAAAAGGCAAGGAATGGGACAGGCTGACCCAAGGAACTCACCTTGAAGTACTACACAACGAACCCTGGATGTCACTAAAACTGAAATGTCACTGGCCTTACGAAGACAAAACCTGAAGGGGCAAGTAAGGAAGAAGGGGATGAATGCTAAGCCTGGGAGAAAGGAATAACAGGCTGGAACAGAGGTAGACTCCGAAATCCTGCCCCTTCAAGAAGCAGCAGTCTTGGGAATCTGAGAAGTGTTTGTTGAAGGCCGCTCAGGAGTCCATATTAGCAGAAGGTTGGGAAGCTGGAATTACAGCTGGGAGAGGAGTACCTGACGTAGTCCAACCACCGTGTTCCTTCCAAGGCAGAAAGCCACTTATCCTCGGACACAGCAGAGTCTGGCAGAGTGGAGGGAGCAGAAGGGCAAAGAACTCAGAACTTGGGATTCAGGTCTATAGCCTGATGGGTTAAGGATAAGCCAGGTTGTGGTTAGCTGAGGCTGAGGGTGGGAATGAAAAGTAAATGGCCATGAGGTTTGTAAAATTTATTTATGTTTATGTTTATGGGGCTGGGGATGTAGCTTAGGGGTAGAGTACTTGCCTAGCAAGTGCAAGGCCTTAGGTTCACTTCCCAGCACTATCAAAAAAAAAAAAAGACAAAGGTGATAGCTGCTCATTGTAAATAATGAGATTTATTGTACATGTAAGATGGGTGAATTTTATAAAATTTCATAAAGCTGTTTTTTAAACAGAGTGAGTTGGACCCAGCAGACAGGCAATCAGTAAATCTGTAGGACATAGGAGTTGGGTGTGGTAGAACATGCCTATAAACCCAGCACTCCAGAAGGCTGAGGCATGAGGATCCCAAGTAAGCGACCGTACCTCAAAAAATAAAATGGGTCGAGGATGTAGCTCTGTCCAAAGGTGTAATCCCTAGTACTAGGGGAAAACAACACAACAAAAAACAACTGCAGATTGCTGGGCTAAAGGATTACTCATCA